ACTGGGATGTGTCAGACAGACTGCAGGTGTCTGACCTGCATGTCGTATATTATTCTTACAATTTGGTAAAAAGAAACAGGCTTAAATTTAGATATTTAATGAATATTAGAATGTAAACATATATACATGTTGCATAGAAAAACACAGTACCATATTCTGAAAATGTTAAGTGCATTGCTTTGCATCTTACTGGAGGCCAATCAGACTTTTACATAACCTTGTCTGTGATCGATCCCCAAGGTGCCTTTAGTTTGTACTTCAGTCAGTCAGACAGACAGGCTAAATTAACCTGCTGATCATGTTATTTCATCCTGTTTAAAGGGCCACTGGAGCCATCTGTGATGCCATTATGATTCCTGCCTGCACACTGCCTGTAATATCTCTTCACAGCGACAGTGATTGGGAGTTCATGTAGGATTTTTTTTAAATATATAACGAGCAAATAAAACATCGTAATGACTATTGCTGTGACGTTCGTTATCATCTATTGCCTGCTCTCTGCCTGTGTGGGATCTGTCTTTGACATAATCATGATCAGGCGCATAATCACTTGTAATGAAGTCGTCTTTACGGAGGCGTCTGCCTTATGGACTCTGACACCTCGTTGCCCGTCTGTCAGCATGGCCCCAGTTAACATGCTGTGTCTAAATAAGCCTGTAACATCTGCTAATAAAGCTCCGCTAATGAGTGTCCTTGTTTAGACTTATAATGAGCAATCATTAAGATCCCTCTTTCAGGCTTTCCATTCTGCAAGACCCGCAACTCGAGCAATTAGTCGGCTTCCATTGAAAAGCTCTTTTAAGCTTTAACACTTGGGTGCATTGAAATTTTATGAGGTCTTTAGGCAACCATCAGATTATCTCTGTGGTGTAGCAGAATCATTCATATTCATCAATCATGTAATGCCTGTTTAACTAACAGCAGTTTGTAAAGCAACTACTTCATTTTAAAGAGTTGCATGTCCAGGTGGCCTGATTCATTAGCTGTCATTTCAAATCTGTGACTGTAGGAGAGTGGATCACTTTCTTTTTCATAATTAGCAGTCTGTGATCAGTTACTGATAGTGTGTTGTTGTGTGTTGTGAGGGCGGCTGTGGCTCAGGAGGTAGAGCGGGTCGTTTCCTAACTGGAGGATTAGCGGTTCAATTCCCGGCTTGTCCAGTCAACATGTCGAAGTGTCCTTGAGCAAGACACTGAAACCCCAAGTTGCTCCTGGTGATAACACCGTTATGTGAGTGTGAATGGCTAAATAGAGTGAAAGTGCTTTGAGTGTGCTGTAAAGCGTAGAAAAGCGCTATACAATTAAATAAGACCATTTACCATTTTTCTGGTCCTCTCTTCTCACACGGTGTGATGTCTTCTTTCCTGACATCACTGTCAATTTATAAAGAACACTTATTCATGTATAATACCAGTCACACATCAGGACACACCTTCTTATTCAGTGGATTTGTGTGTGTGTGTTTCTGTTATTTCTGTATTGTAGATTAATATTAAAGGCATCAAAACTATGAAATAACAAATATGTGTGAAAGTCACTTATTGTCATACTCATTGGAGATACTGTAGTCCCCAAAAGACTGGTACCGTTAAATTAGAAACCTCATTTGGTAAAAGACGACAAGGATTAATCAGCCTTCGAAATAAGAAGTGTGGTTGATGTATCATCCATTATTGATTTGGTGAAGGCAAGGCAAGACTATTTCTATAGCACATTTTCCTCACACATGGCAGCTTTGTGGGGGTTGTCCTGCTTTTGCTGCTCCATTGCACCTGTTGCCCTTTTTCATTTGCACCAGAACAGGTGAAACTGATTCACAGTCACTTGTGCCTCCTAAATGGACAGATTGATATCCCTGAAGGTTAACTGACTTGGTGTTATACTGTGATGATCAAGTGTTCCCTTTTTTTGAGCAGTTTAGTACTTTTAGGACCACTGTGGCAGACTGTGGATTCCCACTGTTCTAAATATGCTTGTACCCCTTTACTTCAGTCTTCCCAAGCATGTCACTATTAGAAACACACAGTGTATTAGATGGGTGTCAGATTTTTTTGGAGTGATGTTATTCATAATGGTTAAAAAACATCTCTTACTTCATGTCCTATCTTGCTGTAGGAATTTTCACTGTTCGGGTCCCGAAGGAAACAGCTGGAGAGCACTTTGAAGGCCTCCAGATGCTGACGAGTCTCCTTGCCCCAAAGGGTTCCCGTTCAGCAAAGCCACTGGCAGAAGACGTGAGCACAGGTAAGCCATATTTATCTGTATTCAAGTCAGTTTGAGCACATGGATGATGAAGATAGCATGGAATGGTTTAATCAGTCATAACTGCTTACTGTGTCAGATGGATGCAGTCAAACTATGGGAGATGATGAAGAGGAAGATGAGGAAGAATTTGATTGGCAGGTCGAGCAGGAGGTGTACAAGGAGAGCTCTGAAGAGGAGCTGAGAGCCCTGCAGAAATACGGCTTTGGCAATCAGAGGTCTGGAGTGTTTGCCAGATTACAGGTAAGAGCCTCAGATAAAAACCTTTCCATAATCTCTGAAACACTCATATTCTGTAGGAACAGGCAAAGCTGCTAAATAGAAGTTCTGGAATCATACAAGTAAGGTTTATATGAGAGTGCAAGGCTTAAGCGCTGCTACTGACAGGAGGAACTCGGTGATGTGATTGATAACGGGAACCCAGACGGCACCACAGCAGCAGAGAGGAGGCAGGCACGGCTGGAAGCAGAGGCATCAGCTTTCTCTCCTGATCATTACTTGTGAGTTTATCAGAGCTAAAGCCTCTGACACCCTGAAACATTACATTTGTTCTATGCCATTTCTTGTCTGCTAACACTGGCTCTCCATTGCAGGGCTGATTTGTTTGAGGATGATGAGATAAAGGGGTTGCTGAAGTTTACACCCTGGTGGACAAAGCTGAGTCCTTCTACAGAGCAGGAAGGAGAAGCTGGTGAGTGGAATCGGTTCATAATCTTTAAACCTGATCTGTAGATCCTTAAATTTGAATTGAATTGAAATGTTTATTAGATCAGTTAAAACAAGTCAATGATTTTTTTAAGAGTAAAAATATGATAAGACATAAAATAGCCCTCCTGTGACTGATGTATATACTTTGTTTAAACAAACCCATGGTTAGAGGGGGGTCACACTCAAGTGTGCAAACAGTTCATAGACATCTGTGACAAAGGACAACTAGACACTGTTTTTTGTCATTTGTCACAGGTCAAAAAAGCTGAAAACAACTGATTTAATCATTACATATGCATGGTATTTTATAGAACATATGTTTTTAGGTGAAGGCTTACTCTAAAAAGAAATTTTGGCTGCCAAATAAATGTAGTGGAGTAAAAAGTACCGCTTTTCACACTGAGATGTAGTAGAAATATAAAGTAGCACAAAATGGAAATGCTTGAGTGAAGTACAATATTGCAAAATTGCATAAAAGTGTGCTACTGGGGTAAATGTGTTTAGTTGACCACTAGAAGGCCTCAGCGGTAGTGTGCGTTAACAGTATAGTACTTCATTTGAGTGTTTGGAGTAGTGTGTGTTTGCACAGTAAAGAGTGCTTGTGAATTGGCACTTCTGATGATTTGCCAACTTCTATTTGCACCACTTAATAAGTTTAAAAAAAGTAAACCAATCAGATCACATGTTGATAAGCGTGGCTCATTTGAGGTTGTCAGTCAGTTAAAAGGTGACCAGGAACGTAGTACCGGGGGCTACCAGAAGGTGGCATGAAGTTACAGAAGTTGAGAGGGCAATCATGCGTGGTGTGTTATTAAAATACCCTGTTGATCATTTGCTATACCCAGTAGTACAATTCTAAAACTTCCACTAATTTTATTGTGAATTGAAGTTCTGGGTATGCAGTGTTACAGACAGGAATCTGTTGCCTGGGCTTTATGCCTTCGAGGCACTGACATTGTTCTCCGACAATACATGAATCCCCAAAGGACACACGAGTCTTTTCACTGCCCTCCCTCCTTCTAGAGGAAGCTCCGAGCTCAGCTAGTGAGCCACACAGCCGCACTCCCTGCCAAATGGCCTCAGGGCTCTTCGACTGAAAAACTCTTGTCATAATTGGAGATTGAACTTAGACCTTCCTTAATCACTGCATCTCTCTGCTGCCTGTTGAACAGTTTAAACAACTGGTTGAGTTACAACGTGGCAAAGCCCAGTATTTCTACCTTCTTAATTCTCCAGTCTTTTTTTCCCAATTTCAGGTTTTCTTTTGGCAATCCAGTCCAATCCATTTCAAATCAATGGCTCATTTACTTTGATTGCAATGCGCTGTTCGTTGGCTGGAGCCTCCCATCTCCATTTCTCCATTCAGCCTCTTGCATTGGAGTGATGGTTTGTGAAGCCTGCGCACTGCAAGAGACAATTTAATTGTGCCATCCAGCTCCTCTTAACAGCCCGCTAATTCCAGCACTTCCACAGTTGAAGCAGTCACATGGCTCACAGCCACAGCTTATGCGTGGTACATGGGTGTTGTACGCTTGAGAGAGGATTTAGATTAAACACATAGCATTATTGCAGGAGGGTGCTGTGCCAGTTGAGTTTCCCCCAGAGTGAGGGCCCGATCGCTGATGAGCAGCCATCCGTCAGTGATGCAAAGGCCATTTACCACAGTCTGAGTTTAGCCTCCAAAGAACATTAAAGCTCCTTGTAACCCCCGCTGGCTCCCTCGCCTCATTCTGCATTTTAAGACATGCTTCATTCGGGAGCCCAGGTCTAGATAAATTGGCCAAATTAAACTTAATGGCTTGACTGACAGGGCAAATAGCATTAGCCTCAGCTGAGTGTGAAGGATAGCATTGGTCAGAAGATTTAAGCAGCTTGGAAGCATACTCATGATTGTAACTGGTTCTCGTATTTCAAATAAACTACAACTTTCTCCATGTGGGTTTTTAGACTTCTCGCCCACTCCTCCACTTCTGACTGTTGTACGTTTCACTTGACAGATAGTTGTGGACACAAGTGCTAATGAAGCAGAAACTGACCCCTTTGTGCTTCCCAGTCTCAGGGCCAGCACACTGACGGGCCACAGCTGTCCTCTGGAGGCCTGCATTCACCCACCGGTTCAGGCTAAACGCTCCTTGACAGCTCAGCCCCCCTCTCTACCTGTTGCACTTTGTTATGGCTGGGTTTCAAAATCTGACCTTTGACCAAGTCGGATAGTTTTCTGTTGTTTTAGACCATCCGAGTTTACAGTCTGAGTGGACTGTGTAATTAAATGTCCCTTCAGTTTGTACTTGACATGATCACAGTTTGCACAAAATTAACCAGATCTGCCTTTCAAGGTCATTTGTGAAATTCTGGACGTGTTGTCCAACCCTCTGCAGTATTTTTATGAAGCATATTTACTCCATGCCCTCCGGCCATCTGGACCTGTAGAGAGCAGTGACGAGCCAGGCTGGCGTTCCAACTGGAGGAATTAGGTCAGAAATTAATTTGCAATCAGCGGAAGCCCTCATACGCTGACGGCTAATGCCCAGTAGAATTGATTGGCTCTCCAGTGGAAATGAATGAATGCGGTGTTGAGTAAATCTGTCAGGTCTGCTCTCCTCCCGTCACCAGCTAGGCTGCAGGGTTAATAGAAAATATATCAGCATGATGAGGCTGCTGCGTCCAACTTGGAAGAGACTGGATTTCTTGCATTTAGTTACTGTCAATATAGGTTTTAGTTGCAAAATCTCAGTGCATTGCTCAACATTTTTCTTCAGAACAGATGGCACACAGATCATCTGAAATCTGTAAGATCATTTTTGTCTGAACGATGATCCATAAATACATTTGTTGTATATCAACATTTGTATACTAGATACAGCTTTGTCCTTCAATTTTTATTCCTCAATTACCTGCTCATCCTGGCAGTAGTGTACTGTGTGTGTTTGTGTGTGAGGGTGTTGTGATTCTCAGTTACTGTGTTAAATCTGAGAGTTTTTTTGGTTTTGTTTTGTTTGTTTTTTCCTACTCATTCTGTATATGTGTGTCTGCGCATGTGTTTGAAGAAGAGCGGGTGCACGTGCACGTGGCTCTTTATGTCTGTCACTGTGTTCTGCTCGGCTGTGATTTCTTGCTGCAGCAGCACTGACGGGGGACACAGACGGCATCTGCAGGGAGCTAAAACCTGATGTAATGCAGTAGGAATCTCCTTCCCAGCAGAGTCAAGCTCCTACTGCAGCCTGAGAGATCATTCTGATGTGCTGTGTGTGTGTTTTCTCCAGCCAGCACACACCATCCTGCTCATCAGCGACTCAGTACAGGGATTCTGTTCTCCTCGTGCAGAGAAAGGAATTGCTTTCAGCTGTTGTATAAGCTGCTTGGAAAGAAAAAACACTGTTGAGTTACAACATGTTTCTATAGACATTCAGCATGCCTTTCAGTACTGAGCAATGCAGATAGCTTAAATGGGATTGACGTCTGTTGTGGTGCCCTGTTAGGCTTACCACAGATCCCCATTAAGCAGATGTCTCTTTCAAAAGGCAACAGTTAGTGATTTTGCACAAAGCAGGGACACAGAGGTTTGAGATATTTCCGTATGATGTACTTAGCTCTGTCAGAAGCATATACGTGGGATTGGCTTTTCTAATTTTGCTAATTTAATGTTGGACTATTTGACCTATATGTGCCTTCCTGTTGGCGCCAAATTTAAGGTCACTGTGACCTCTTGTCTGTCTCATTCTTGTCAGCACAATGTCTCCGGCACAAATGTCCACTTGGATTTGTGGATGAACTAGTTAGAATTTGTAGGTCAGTAGAGTCTGTTCCCTCCTGAAGACGGCTTCAGTGTTGTCAGTGCAGTCCAGTTTCTTAATGATTTAAACCCACTGGTACCTGTAGGAGTCCACCCTTTTCATTTCCTTTTCCTGGACGACAACCAGGACAGGGGTCCTCCTGTTCCTCTGGTAGCCCACCACAAGCTTTTGCAGATATTGAGCTTCAGGTGATTGTCACTGCACAGTGTCACAGAGCTCTCTGCCAATTCTCTGTAAAAAAATAGTTTCTAAGTGAAGACATTGTGTTTCTCACTGGAAACTATTCACTGGAATCATACATATCAGTATATTGATAACTTCTATTCCTTTGTTTGATTACACACACTCTTTACTTAATGAACACACAGTGCACCTAGAAAACCGCACACAAAGTTGAGGTTACTGCATGTTTTTTTTTCCCAGGAAGCAGGAGGAGGCTTTGGCAAGAATTTGTGGGAAATACCAGAATCACAGTCTCCGGCATAAAACGCGAGGCTAGCTGAACAGAGAGAAAATAATATATTTTCAGACTGAGGTGGCTTAGTGTGGATGTAACCTTAAAGCTTTAGCACACTAAATCCAGTCTATTAAGCTGTTTTATCACAGCAGTGCTATAATAAAACATTGTGCTTTTTATCTTAATACATAATGCTAGCAATATGTATTTATAGGAAACTCATTGGTTTGTATTTCTGACTTTTGACTGAAAAGCATGTATACATGATGATGGTTTAGTGTAAGATAAGAGTAAAGTAAGTGGTCATACACTCCCTCCTGAGAGGCATATGTGTGCAGAGGAGTGAATGCAACCACCTAACCACCACCACTTCCCACACCCACTACTGGATCCTGCAGTTTACAGGCACTCCTGTGTGTCACTCTTTGCATATACACCAAAGACTTGTGGTGACTTGAGATGACACATCTAAATGTAAAATCCTTATTCTGATGCAGCTGTGTCATTCACCGACAACGAGAAGGAGCAGCTGAGAAAATTCACCAACCGTTCCTACCTGCTGGACAAGACTTCCCGTTACCAAGTGTGGCTCAGCCTCGTGGACATTCTGCTGGCGTATTCCTACGAAGTGCGCTCCACCGAGGGAGAGCACAGTGTGAGTGTGTGTGTGTGTGTGTGTGTGTGAAGAGGCAACTCCTCCTGAGTAGCTCTTAGCCTCGGATGACAAAGCCCTCAATCCTCAAATCCTTTAGACCCCCCTTTCATTTCATTCAGGGCCTTAAGAGATTATCAGCAGATCCAAGAGCTCAGTCCAGGCCTCTTTGTGTCACTCTGCTAAGGTAGCTTCAGAAAGACAAGGTGAGCAGTGCTGACTTCGTAGTTAGACACTTCACAGCACTTGTGAGAGAAATACTAGAGACATTTGACACAGCAGAGTGTTGGATTAAAGCCCAGCAATGAAAACAAAATCTGTTATATATGAGCATCACATATTTCCAGAGCAAGTCTCCTAGTTTGATTAAACTTGGAGGTTCTCCTAGTATTTCCTGTCAGCTACTGTTGTGGTGATGAGTGGTCCTCATCTTCCCTGCAGGTGGAGTCACCGTGGACAATCAGAAAACTCAGTGGGACACTCTGCTGGCTGGAGGTGAGTCTGGAAATGGGGTGTGGGTCCAGTGAGAGCTTTACTCACATATAGGTACTTATTTGTTTATTTAATATAATATGTGCTTAATCAAGCATCACTGGAAATCTTCATCTGTTTTCCTCCTGCGCAGATGTCACTAGACACCCTAACTGTTTGACTAAATTCATGATACATAGGGAGTTTTTAACTAAATTGGCTACATTTACTAAATGTACTGCATAAAGTGCAGCTCTTATAATGGGCTGTTTTCATACCTGTTGTCTAGAAAGTAATGGAGTGCTGAAGAAAGTTTCTTCTGCTGCTGGACCTGAAATATCGATTTAAGAGAAAATTCTACATGTAAGGAAAGATTGAACAGCCTGATGATGTCGGCTCAGCAAAATGATCAGTGACTGATTGACCTTTAGTAAAGCAGCTGTTAACAATATAACAACACACTTACTTACTGGGTGCTTGAGGCATGTTGCACTGGACTGGAGCTGCTGTTAGAGTCAGGTACATCAGGTAAAACAAGCAGGAGGCCAGTGAGGGAAACAGAAAAGTAAAGTTGTATGAAAACAATAACGAGCTGTGTCATTGTTGCTGTTTGTCTTGTTGTGGTGCAGAGCACTCCGATGAGGTAACTTTATAATGCATAACTTAATTTGTTCATGCTTTATCTGTCCCTCAGTGTTTGTTCTTGCAATAGTTCCTGACCCTCTGTGTGTATCCATTAAAACAGTGCTGTAGATTTAAAACCTGACCTTTTCCCAGACATAAATGACAGTTTCATCTGCCACAGTGGTCAATCTGCAGTGATAAATCAGGTACTGAAGATATTTACATAAATTTTCATTCCCTCCTATATTTAGTCTCTAAACAGGAGCGCTTTAAATTACATTTTGCATAAGACCAGTCTTGCAGTCTTGAGCAGTGCTGCTTTTCTTCCAAGACATTTAGTGTGTGAATCTTTAGTAAATATCCTCTAATTACTTGACTTCCGGGTTGCAAGCGAAAGCAGACGTCTTTACTGCTCCTCTTGTCTGTTCTACGATTTTTCATATCTTCTACATTTTCAAGTCTTTGAACAAATTCTACAACTATTAAAATGCCTCCAAGAGGGAAAAGAGCTAATAAATCAGATGCGAAC